GGTTCTGAGGAATCGAACCCAGGGCCTCAGGCATGCAAGGCAAGCACTCTACCACTGAGCCACCTTCCCAGCCCTAGTAATGAGGTTTTTTTTTAATTAGACACAATACTTTGTTTTTCTGATGTCTTTTCTTATATTCTTTTATTATTTAGAGCAGAGCTAATCATTCTATTTACAACATTTAAATTAAATGCCAAAGCTTTAAACTAATTTATTTGGAAATGGAAACTATAATTATCTTCCCTTGATACTGAAATGTCAATCACAACAGAATTTAATTTGATCCTTTCATACCACCTCTGAAATCTTTTTTCATGAATTTATTCTCATAGCTTAAAATCTCTGAAATGGTTATTCCTGAGCTGTACCCCAAACTTAGGGAAATATCTGAATTTAAACCTGAAATTTTACCTGGATACAGTTGGAAATTAAGCTACAACCATGGGGGTTCAAAGAAATATGACTCTTACAGTCTTGTTTCTCAAAGACCCACATACTGTTTCTTGGCCATTAAACAATACTCTGACAAAACAGCATTTTGATGACTTGAATACACATGCATCTGTAACATACGGATTGAATTTTCCTTGACATATAAGTGGGTTTGAATAAAGAGAAAAAAGTGATTGGCAAAAATTCATTCTCTGTATTGCCAAACCTAAAATGCCTGAACGCATAAGGCATATTAAAAGACATTCTAATGAACCCCAAAACATGGTCCTTGTTTTTCCATCTTTAAATGATTCTATAAACCCATGTTGGAAAGAGAAAAAATTAATTTATTTGGAAGATCTAAACTATATAAAGTATCAAACAATGGAAAACCATGGTGTTTATGAGGAAACACTAAAAATCTTAAAAGCCAGATTAAATTACTATTTTTGTAATAAAGTGTGTACATATGGGTGCTGGGAAAAAAGAAACGCACTACCCAGAGTTGATGAGAAACACTAACGAAGACCCAATAAGTCAGATAATTAATATGTTTCCAACTTAGGGAAGATGAAATCTTAATAAGTTGGAACCGAGATCTAAGCCTACTTATTGGCTACTAAAGGAAGAGGGCACTGGAAAGGGGTGGGGTGGAGGAGAAAGGGCAGACAAATGAAGAAGAGAGGGGAAGTGCACGAATCCAATGCAACTCCGACAAAACTAAGAAGAGCGAGGGAAGGGGTGGAGGGGAGAGGAGGGAGGGTGGGAACGTGGATCAAGATGCACTGCATTCATCAACTGCTCTGTTACATGGGAGCCCCTGGGTACAACTACTTGAAGATGAGAATAAAGCATGGAGACATGAATTCGTAGCTCTGTCTCCCCGTGAGGGAGGACTTCACCGCGCAGAACTGCCCGGCCAGGCCCTGCGGTGGGGAGGCAGCAACTCGGCCTCTCTCTCTTACCCCTCGCTCACAAGTGCGCTTTGTTTTGCTGAAGCAGGCATATGGTGAGGGGAAATTATCTGCTCAGCATGGAGAACCAGCAACAAAACCTCCTTTAGCTCTCACGGGGCCCGCAGCAGCGCCTCCGTCAGGCCTCTACAAGCATTATCTCACACACTGACACACCTCCGCAGGCTCTCCGAGGACTCATAGCGTTGCTTTTGATTTCAACAGCATTTTGATTTCCAAAATACATGTAGATCTCTTCGCTCTCCTTGTCTTCGCCGGAGCGGGATTTGCAGGATTTAATAGCGTACATCACCGAATCTCTCCTGGCCTGATGACTTAAACGCTTTCACGCTGCCCTGTGGTGTGGTCTGCAGAATCGTGCTGCCGCACCCCATCTAACTGATTTTGGTAATGTCCCCCGCAAAGTCAGCGTTCAGACTGTCTGTGTAGGGCGTTCTATTCAGAGCCTTAGGTAACTCAGCACCCATCCAGATCATTCTAGAAAGGTCTTGAACACGCAAAGCCTGGTGTGGTTCCAGGTTCCGGAGCGACAACCGAGAAGAGGAGATCACATCCCGGCGCCAGGAAGCTGAGAAATACCGTCGTGGCTGGGCAGCCGTGAGCGACCCGGGAAGCCGGAGCAGAGCAGGCCGGCTGCTGGCGTATGACTCGAGGTGAAGCCTCGGCGCTGCGCCCTCCTCACGCCCACCTCCCGGCCTGCCACCCACATTCCGGGCATTTCTATCGCTTCCTCACCCAGAAATGCATTCTCTCACCCCCACTCCACCCCGCCACGTCTCCCCCACCCCGAGACACCCTCCTCCCCATCTCTACCCCTTCCACTCCCACCCAGCCGACACGGCCCCGGTGTGGCTCTGCGCTCCCTCCCGCGGCCTCCCTCGGCTCCCGGGCGCAATCCTGTGTGCTCAGCTCGGCTGGCGCCGGGCCCTTGGTTCTGGCAGAAGTCCACCGCAGGTCTCTGCCTCTCAGCTTCCTTCCCTCCCGTCACAGGCGTCTGGTAACGTGCATGGACACTCGCTCAGTCCAGGTTGGGAAGACAGAGGCAGACAACACGTGCATTTAGACGCAGTCTCCCGAGCAGCTCCATGGATGACTTCCAGCACCGCTGGCTTCCAAGTGAATTTTCAGAACGCAGACAAAGCAGGACCGGCCCGTCGCGTTTGACACCATTACCGTGTGGAACAGGGCGGTGGTGGAGCTGCATACTCCCTTCCACGTGCTTGTGAACAATGCCACGCATGTGTTCCCCGTGAAGCTACTCTTGATGAGCCGAGCTGCGGAGGGCCGGCGCGTGCTGGCCTCCGAAGCCGTGCACGCGCCGGCCCAGCTGCCCTTGGTTTCCAGGGCTGCTGAAGTACAAATCCCAGCTAGCCCGGGAAGCTGAACTCTTCGTATACTCTTTGTATTAAACAATATTAGAGAAACAAAGTCAAAAACAAGTGGTGTCTTTCCAGCCTAGCCTGTCAATAAAAATTGTGAAATCTTTAAGAAACAAACGTAGTGTCCACTTTATTTTTGGCTCAAAGGGGATAAATAATACAATAGAGCCTTAAAATTTACCCATAAAATCTCAGAGTAATAAATCATGAATAGAAGCTCAAAATAGACAAAGTAGTTCTCAGGGAGCAAAAGTCAAATTCACAGCCGGACAGAAGTTACACTTGTGTAAATAGGAGAAGAAAGAGGAAAATGATACAAGACTGAAAGAATGGAAAAGAAACTCCAGAAACTGGAGGGGGGCGCGGGCACAGGAACGAAAGCAAGCGGTCTGCTGGTGTTTCCTCGATTTCTTGGTTTGTTTAGTTAGACCTTTCCAGCACATCTCCCGGGAGAAGAGGAGGAGGAGAACACACCATGAATCTAATTTTCCTTGCTTGCTGCACATACCAAGGACGAGGCGGAGAGCTGACTTCCCAGCCCTACTGCTGACCATAAATGCACAGTAGTCTCATGTTGTAGGAATTCCTGGGGGATTATTTAAATATGTGTTCCTTCCAGTCTACATTTATAAAATGCTTGAACCCTGAGGATCCTTAACAGAAATCTCAAAGCCATAATTTGAAAATAACCTATCATCCTAAATATTCCAAGTTTTCATTTAAAAAATAAAAATAAAAATTCAGCTTTGCAATTAAGATCAGTAAAAAAAGTCTGGGTTGGGTGGGGGGAAAGGGGCAGAAGAAAAGTCTGGAACGTCATCCAATATCCAATAACTTCCACGCAAAATGCTTCCTTTCCTCTACCAGGATTTGGAGCCCACAAAACTTGCACTAAACAGATTCTGTGGTCTGCCAAGCTCAGTCCACGCACACAGCCCTTGGGGTGACCTTTGCCTGTGGTCCCCGCCCTGGGTGAAGGCGGCAGCGTGACCTCTTGGAAGGACCCCACGGCTTTGACCCCAGCCTTCCCCAAACAAGGTCTGCGTGTCACGCAGCGAGGAAAAACACACGAGACAAAACTCCAAGACTGGTGTTTTCTTGCCTGACTCTGAGGAAGGCGGTGAAACTTAAAACGTCATCCTTGCAAGATCCCGATCTTCAGGCCTCCTGGGACATGTGTGAGGAGGAGGCCTGGGCACAGGCTAGCCCCACACCGTCTATCCCTCAATAGGTGAAAAGTCACCCATCCGGCGGTGGCAACCCTCACAACAGTGGTGTGGGACGGCAGCCCCGACTCACCCCTGCGTTCTGGCTGTCTGAAGTTCCTCCCCTGACCTCCTTCCCTGGCTGTGTCCTCGTGGAAGCTCAGATCTAAGCACACTCTCTATTCTCACGTGCTCTGGCTTCTCGGCCTTCGTGGTGCTGTTCCCCGATGCCAGGGCTGACAGCAACACACACAGATGGCCGCTACCCCGGACGCCGCCCATGCACGTGCTCACCACGCATCCCCCGCAGCCCGGGAGAGGGCGCGGAGCCCGCTGAGCATGAGGAGGGCCTCACCATTCACCCAGCTCTCAGCAGAGGGAAGACCCCTGCGTGACCCGGCACACACACACTTCCGGTGTTATCTCTGACAGCGGGGCCCAGCAGCATCGTCCACAGCAGCGTTTGGAGACCCTTCCTCACCTCCCCCTCCACTTCCACCTTCTCCAGCCCTTTCTGTTATATTTTCATCATTTAGGCGTGTGTTAGATAAAACCTGCCTATGGTAATGTTCACTTGTTGTTGATGTGTAACTGGACCATTTTGACAAAGCCAGAGTTGGCGGACATCGTCACAATCAAGACGCTGTCACCAGAGCTATGGACAGCTTTCTTTCGGTGCTGCTGCTTTCTACCAGCCTTGCTTGTTCGGGCTCAGCACTTCAGCACCAGACCAAGCACCCACGAGAGCAGGATCAGAGTCTGCTCTTCCTCCTTCCAACCCGGAGGCCTGCCCAGGAGTGGACAGTGCATAAACGTCTTCGAAAGTCGATTCACTCATTTGTTGCATGATCTTACAGAATGTATTGCGCCTCGCACATTGTATGAAACACTGTTAATGAAATCACACAAAAACCACTGATTCAATGTGTCAGCACATGCTAGCACCCACGCACACCCATGCGCATGTATGCACACACACACACACACAGCACAGTAAACTCCGTGCTTACCTTCCCCCGTTTCTGCACAGAGCTGCAGCCCCAGGTTGTTCTGTGGATTAATCATCCAGTGGTTGCTGGTCACAGTGATATCAAAAACAAGCCAACCCACATCGAGAGCTTGGGCCTTTCTTGTGTCTAACAGGAACAGATCTGCATCCCTAGTGAGAAAAAGGAGGGGGAGGGGTGAAGACCATGGTTCTCTGTGCCTGAGTGAAGGCACGTCAACGCGCTCTTCACCATGACTCGGACATGGTGACGCAGCGTGGGCTGCTCTGTACCTCCCAGCCAAGCCTGCCGCAGGTGACTGGGGCTCGACGGAGCCCATAACCCTTCACCCCCTCACCCAGCTCTGCCCGCCCTTCCTGTTTGATCCTGGACATTGGTGCTCCCCAAAACCAACATCTGGTAGTATCCTTCAGAACAAAGAATTAAAATAAATAGTAGACTACAGGAAGCTACTGCTCAGGTCTGGATGCATGTGGATTCCCACAAGACTGAAGCACAGGCAGGTTCGATCAAGCATCTGCATTAGTTTCTCACAGCGTGCATTTTTATTACAATAGTTTTGCAGAGGCCTAAAGCCAAGAGCAGGTCACCAACAAACCACTGGATTCAGAAACCCCACGATTTGCGTGATGTGATCTCACAACCACAGCTTGTTTGAACATCTTCTGTGCATCCCAGGCCTGAGAGACAGGAGTAGCTGTGAAGAAGAACTTGATGACAATAACCACAACATAGATGCTATTGATATTTGTGAATCTATCTTTGAAACAGTATCAGTATTAAGTTTAGTGTATATGAGTATTATGCAATTACAGCGCGTCGTATTTCTTTACTAACAATGACATCTGCAAAAAGGCACCTCTTTTCTGACTTTTGAACAGACGCCATTTTGTACTGATAAAACTGAAACTTGGATAGGTTGACTGCAAAGCATTAGCTCCTTTGAAGGTAAAGTGGAAGGACTCCAGCATGCCCTCCTGTAGCCATCCATGCCATGCTGGGAGCCGATCACAGAGGGAGTCAGAGCTGTCCGAATAATTTTGTCACATTACTTTCTACGGCACTCACCACACGATCTGTATCATCCAACTCTCGTCAGAGGGGACTTGCACAGTGTAAAAGGACATTCTGAATGTGTCTATCTATGTAAATCCTTTGGAAAGACTGTGGCTATCTTTTAGAAACTACATCTTCATTTCTTTAACTTAACACATACTACTCTCCTACTAACCTAGATAAACTAAAATAATTGTAATATGATTAAGACATCTACCTACTGAATAACATATATATGTTATATATATATATATATATATATATATATATATATATAGAGAGAGAGAGAGAGAGAGAGAGAGAGAGAGAGAGAGAGAGAGACCAGTCCTGGAACTTGAACTCACAGCCTGGGCACTGTCCCTGGGCTTTTTTGGTCAAGGCTGGTGCTCTACTACTTGAGCCATATTTTTAATCCCAGGTTTTGGTGGTTAGGTTAATTGAAGCTAAGAATCTCCAAGTCTTTCTGCCTGGGTTGGCTTTGAACTGTTATCTTAAGGTCCCAACCTCCTGAGTAGATAGGATTGCAGGTTTGAGCCACTGGAACCTAGCTTATTTCCATTAGTTTTGAGATACTTGATCAATGTCTCTGAAATTGCAATCCTGCTTGGAGGTAACTCCTGTCCCAGTGTCCTGAGACATTGAGTGCTTTTCTAGTTTTCTCTCCTTGTCATCCCTGGAAATAACAGGACACAGTAAAGCTAGCAGCACAACCATGTTCATTGCTGCACTATTCACCATAGCCAAGGTATGGAAAGCCCAGATGAATGGATCAAAAAAAATGTGGTATCTATACACAATGAAATTTTAGTCATCCATTAGAACGAATGATATTGCATCATTTGCAAAGAAATGGATGAACCGAAAAAATTATGTTAAGTGAAGTAAGACAAAGGATGCACCTTCTCTCCTATGTGGAAACTAGAACAAATTTATAAATATACAGGTACACACATGGGGTCATATGCAAGTGTACACAAAAGTACCAAAGGATGGCACTCACCAGTGAGAATTCAAATAGTGTAATTTTTTTAGAAAGACTCATAGTCCAACAAAATGAACACCAGGAAATGATACTTGAAAGAGGGAAAGGATAGGGACAGAGGAGTGGAGGGAGGAGAATGCAGCTGTAATGTTCAATGCATATCCAATGAAAGTGGGAAAATTGAGGGGAGGGCTGGGGTTGGGAGGGTGATACAAGCAGTGGGTGTGATCAAGATGCGTTGCGCTCATGAGCTGACATGTTGGATTGTAACTTCTTTGTACGGCTGCTTAAATAAAGAAAAAATAAAGCAGAAACAACAAAACAAAGGAAAAGAAAATTTAAACTTTGAGGACCAATTAACAACCATCTTTCAGTGGTATTTTCTCTTATTCTTTAACTATTACATTGTTTTAGAAAAAAGAAAATTCCAAAGCTATCCATAGTTATGATCAAAATTCTTCTAGCATTTCTATGATGAAAACAAGTACAGTTTTGATAAGTATTTTTTTTTTAATCCAAGGGACTCAAGAAACCTTTTAAATATCTGAGTTACAGTGATACAAACACTGTTATTGTCATTCAAATCTGGGGAGCGGTCAGGTTTCAGAAATCCATTTCTTTTTAGTCTAACTGAAGAACTAGGGAAGTTCAGTTCTTTCTTGGGTCCCACCATGGTTTTCTACACTTGGGCAAAGCTATTTTATTCTTGGCTGATATACCTTCCATTTTTCCTCTCTTCTTTTACATAAGACTTTGACTCTCATCAGAATTTTCTTTGGGAAAATTGTCTGTTACTAATTAACAAAATGAAAATAATTCTGTCATTTTTACTCACATAATACTTTCCATGGTCATATCTTAAAAACAAATCCTACTGATTCTGTAGAAAACTACACGTGACTCTCTCTTTTTTTTTTTCTAATATAACATTTCTCCACTTAAACACCATACCCCTGTCACTGGGAATAGTAAAATGTCCTAAGTATTTCCTATGAAGAGTATAAAATAAACTTGTTAAATTTGCCCTGTCTCACTATTTTTATTTGACTTTTAAAGGAAATTCTTACGAGCTGGGTGTGGTAGTGCACGCTTGTAATCTCAATCCTCAGGAGACTGAGAAAGGAAGAATGGAAGAGCACAGGCCAGCCTGGGCAACATAGCAAGACAGTGTCTCAGACAAAAACAAACAAATGCAAAGAAATGCTTGCAATGCTGAATAAACGGAAATTTCAAATATTCATCTAAGAAGAATGCATAAGAGAGGGAAGCATGTAAAAAGATACACTTACTTGTAGCTAAAATGATGCTATAATCCTTGTATTTCATTCAATTAAAATAATAAAACAAAAAATAATGTCTGCTTCATAGCAAAGGAAATGAAGTCTATCTACAAAAGCGTCAGTAAGCAAGCATTTCACAGTCATATTTGTGTTTGTTTCCTAAAGCTGCCAGGATTCAATAGACTAGGGTTTAGACAAAAGACATACAGGGCTGGGAAGGTGGCTCAGTGGTAGAGCGCTTGCCTTGCATGCATGAGGCCCTGGGTTCGATTCCTCAGCACCACATGAGCAGAAAAAGCCAGAAGTGGTGCTGTGGCTTAAGTGGTAGAGCGCTAGCCTTGAGCTGAAGAGCTGAGGGATAGCGCCCAGGCCCAGAATTCAGGCCCCATGACCAACCAAAAAAACCAAACAAACAAAAAAGACATATATATGTCTCAGATCTGGAGGCAAAAAAACCAACAAGGAAGCACAGGGCTTTCCTCACAGACTCTAAGCAGAGCTCTGCTCAGGGCCAGTTCTTGGCCTGCAGCTGGCGGTCCTCCCTGTGGTCCTCACATGGTCCTCCCTCACTCAGGTCTGTGATCAACTTCCCTTTGCACAGGGCACCAGCCAGTGGGGCCAGGATCCAGCTCCCCATGTCATGTGACCTGTTGCCACTACAAAGGCCCGGTCTCCACGCAAGGCCTCATTCTCAATTGCTGGAAGCCAGGACGTCAACCTCAGGGCACGAGGCAAGAAGACCCAGCAAATTATAACACGAGGACAGTGTATTTTTCAAGCAAGGGGGGAAAACTGGACGTGGAATAGTAAATCTTCAGTGGCCTTGCGGCATTTACTGGTGCTGAAATGCTTCAAACTCAGACCTGTGAAAGTAGGTTTATATTGCTAGACATTTGCAATTACTACAATTTTTACTTTTCAGGTCAAATTTTAGGATTTCCCTGCAGTATGACAGAAGCCAGCATAATAATTTTCTTGACAGTTCAAAAGTCCTAGGGCAGATGTTGGAGGACTGTTTAGCAGATGGAGGCTCTGAAGTACTCAAACGGCTTTGCTTGGAAATGAAGTATAAACACCCAAAAGCAGTAAGACTAAGCAGCGTGAGCCATAATTTGAGTTACCACACTCCCATAGCTCATGGAAAATACAGACTGTGGAATGAGACACTGAACCTATTTGTCTAAAAAGATGGGGGAGGAAGAGCTAGAGGTTAACTTTCATCATCTTTTTACCAATACCATTGAAGCACAAACTAACAGGGACTGGAGCAATTAAAAAGCTTAGGTAATGAAGCAAGTCCTCCATCCCAGTGTCCTTGTGCATATTAAAAATGGCATAATAATAAAATGGCATAATAATCTCTTCTTTGAAATGTCGTGTCAAGACTACACATAACATAATATTATAGATGTGTAACACATATCACATCTATGCATCTGTATCTATAGGCAGGTACTGAGGTGAATGATAGCCAGATGATGATAGATGATTGAGAGAGTGAAAGAGAGACAGGGGATGGACAGGCAGACGGATGAACAGACAGACAGATGTACACATGGACTGACAGATGGACAGACGAATGGATGGATGAATGGATGGATGGACGGAAGGAGGGATGGATGGATGGGTGGATGGACGGACAGAAGGATGAATGGGCAGGCTGACGGGTGGGTGGATGGATGGATGGACAGACACACAGAGGTGGTGACTAAAGACAATCTAGAATTGACTCTCTGCATGGTCAGCCAAGAATTATCTGGATTCTGAACACTACTTGTTAAAGAAGACAAAGAAGGAGAGCGGGAGAAGGAGAGCGAGGAGAAAAGGAGGTAGGGTAAACACAGGCATGAAAAGACGGGGTAATTCCTGAGACTATTAGCTGTCGTTGAAATTCTTCCCTTTCAAAAGCATAGCTTCAGACTTTGCATGGTGGATCTATAACTTCCAGCCATCCAAATAAATGCTAAAACCAAGAACAAAAAATCCCCGTGGTTAATTTCTTGATAACAGTATTTTCCTTGACGGATTCCAGAGTGTGTCTGTCAGAGCTGGGGGGGGGGGGGGACGGGGGGGGGGGTGTTCTCACACTCGGCCATGAGATTCAACATGTGGCTGGAGTGGAAAATGCACAACCCCACAGATGCATGAGGTGAGCTTCTAGTAAAACAAAGAACACGGCTGTGTTAGTGACTCATTTTATAGGGGACTCAAAATAGGTCTTCTTCATTATACTAATTACCTAGTATAGTTGTGAGTACTTCAGTGTCACCATTCACCTACCCAAGTGTGTAAATATGTACTTTCTGCTTGAAACTGTTCCATCTTGTGCAATTTTACCATGGCAATCCATTCTCCAGTAAACAGCCAGGGGAGGAATGCAAAACGTACAAGCTGCGTGTCACCGGGGTGCCACTGAAAACGGTGGTATTGAGTGTACCGTGACACTACTGGACTCCCTCTACATCACCAGCTAAATACACGAAGCAGTTGGTCTCATAATCATAGGTGGGAAGAAAACTTCTGACTGAAAATGTCTAATGTGAAGGAGTCCAGTGTCTGATTTTCCCTGACGGTGGTTCTGGTGGTCAGGAATTCTAGAACTAAGTGGTCATAGGAATTACTCAGCCAAACCGTTCATTCATGAGAACATTTCAAGACAAATCAAGTGACTTCCCCTGGTCACTTGCCAACCAGAGGGACAGAGCTCAGGATTCCACATTCCATGTCTGGGGCAATTCCTTATAAAATAACAACGCTCGTCCCAAACCATACCTGAATTTATTTACTTATTCTGAGACGTTGTTAGTGTTGGGATTGGTGCACCAGAACCTTGAGCTGAGCAACGGTACAGAGGGAGCCAGAGAATGGCTGGAGACATTTCTTGGATCCAACCGCTGATTCATTCATTCATTGCCTTCCCCTTTCCATGTGGTATGTATTCACTACACACAGCCATTTCGTGCCCACATGGTGATTCAATGAAGCCAGAACTCCTCTGGGTGGCTCAAGGCTGGAATGGCCGCAAAAGAAACTCACTGGGGACGTGGACGTGAGCCCAGGCCGGTCTATGCTGGGAGGGCTGAGGGAGGAGGAGGCGTGGATCTCGGGGGCCTGCTGGCCCAGCTTCTCGGTGTGGACAGCGCTTCGGCCTGCAGCTCCCTACTGGTCCTACTGGTTTTCCTTTTTTCTGCTCTTTGGAGTCTGGGGCCGATTGTGGGGCAGTGCTAAGAAGGATGTGGTCTCGGGGAGGCTGCTTGGGCTGGTGGCGATCAAGCCTGGTGGCCAGGGAGCCTGTTCTCATGGGGTCCAGATTCTCCAGGATCTTGTTTTCTCCAGCTCACTTCTGTCTTTCCCTTCTGACTGGCTCCCACGGACCTGCTACCCAGCAAAAGGCTCACAGGGACCGTTTATTTCCACCATCTTGACAGGTCCAATCTCTGCACCACACCCTTCCCAGGGACCCGAGAGCCACAGGGCGTTTGCTGGTTATCTGGGGCCCTTGGCTTCCGATCTGGAATGGCACCCCACTGCCCTACCCCCCGAGCAGGCAGTGCAGATCTGAATTTGCTTTCAGTTCCCAGATCGCCACCCACCAGCTTGCAGAATGCTCTCACTCGTTCTCAGGATTAGACACGGCACCACATTTGACTCCCGGCTCACGGTGGAGTGTGTGAAGGACAGGGAACCAGAGCTAGCCCCACCCTGGAAGCAGCGGGCCTAAGTGGTCGTTGTGAGTTCTCAGTCACGTTGTAAATTGGTCAACAATGTCTTATGAGAATCAGCTAATATCCTTCAGAAAGCTTGGCCTGGCCTAAAGAAAGAACCAGTAGGCCCCATATTGTGACTGTTTCCTTCATAGCCAGATGTCTCCTGGGTCTGAAAACCAGTGGAGAATCTTCTCCTCTACTTACTCAGCCTGATTTCAATTGCTTGCTTCTGATTCCCAGAGCTCCTCCTTCCCACTGGCACAAATCTGTCACCAACAGCCACATCATCAATAGACGTGTCACCGATGACTTGTCATTGATGGCCCTGTAACCGACAGCCACATCACCACGCCAATGGCCATGTCACCGATGGCCACAGCAACGGTTCTACGAGGTCTGAAGTAGAAATGGGCGTCCTGGTTGCTTGGACCACCTCATTCCAGTAAATCAAAGACAAGACAAATGGGAACATATAAAACTGCATAGAGCTCTCTGAGCCTGCTCTTACAGAATTTCTGATTCTAAGCTGTATGCAAAAGGCTCAGATAAAAATCAGCAAACTAATATTAGCTGACATCAAAATGAAGACTTTGTAGAAGTTTTTGGGTTTTGTTTTAGGTTAAATTTCATTAAAAAAAAATCAATTGTTTTTCATTGTGCAAAAGTTCTTCAATTCCTAAGACATTTTAACTATTTAGCAGGTTTCCTGGCATTGCCTTGTCCCCTATTTTCAACTACCAAGACCACCAAAGACGTATGAGCAGTGAGTATACAGACCCCTCATCCAGTGCGGAAGACGGGAGGGTGAATCCAAAGACAGCGCAGCCACTGCCACGCCCAGGGCACGGGCACGGGCTCAGCACCAGCTCCACACACCCTTACACGTGAGGCTCCCGGAAAGTGTAACAGACGCAAACCCGCCCCCGGCAGCTGTCCAGTGTAGGATCACGCAGGCCTGCAGGCAGGGTTCGGAGCGGTGCACTCTTCGCTGGGTGGAGGAGCCGCTCCGGGCTGTGTGGAAGTTCAGCACCGCTGCTCCGGTCCTCCAGACGCCCCAGCACACCGTGTGCATCCGCCCGTGGGCCCAGAGCCCCAGCACCAGGCTTCCTGAGGCCCCTGTGAGCCATGTGTAGCAAGCATCACCCGCTGCTGTGAGTTACAGACTCAGGACTGCGCTGCGTCCTGGGGAGAGGAGACAACGGGCTCCTTCCGGCATGGGGCTGCCCCAGCCCGGGAGATGGCTGCGTGGATGTGTCCCAGGCCCTGTCCACGGGAGAGGAGCAGGCCGGGGCGGCCCGTGGGGACACCGAGGACAGTCACCGCGTCCCTCCTCGGGGCAGAGGTTCTGATGCCCAGGGGCCGGCTCCCGGGCTTCTGGTACGTAAGAGAGCAGCTCAGACACCTGCACTCACGACGCGCAACGTGTGCACAGCACTCTTCTTTGGAGAGTGTATCACATGGGTGTGAACATGTTTAATTCCAGGGAGGCCATTCGGCACGCTCCGGACACACAGTGGGTGCTGACAAAATGCAAAGTGGCAGCAACCATGCTCATTAGCGGCCAGTAGCCGTTGCTTGATTTGTACACCTCCCACATCTGCACAGTGCTGTGAGAGCATTTTAATAGCTAGAAGCTTTACTACTTAGAAGTAGCTCTTCTAGGAGCGCTCCTCTCCTCTTCCTCTCTCTGTCTCTGTCTCTCTCTTTCTCCCTCAAGTTTCTATTCGTCTTGAAAGGCTCCAGTCAAAGGTAGCCCCCTCTCGAGGCTTTCTTCGGGCGTCTCCCCCTCCCACCTAAAGAATTAATTTTCCTTCCTCCACCTTTCCACACTCCCCGTGCATGCTTACCTCATCCCGCTTAGCACGTTGTACTGCCGTTATTAAAGTCTGTGGGAGGCAGGGCCACCGCGGCCCAGCCCGGGGCTAGGAGCTTTCGAGCTCTTATTTATTGGGCATATGTCCTCTGTGCTTGCTCAACCAAAGCACGCAAGCCAAACGCAGCTGAATTATCTGGAAAACTCAATCATGTGGAAACCTCATTTGCCAGTAATGCCAGATATATGAGGTGTGACTGAGGAATGGCCCGCTACGTAGAATACCGGGGTGTGAGGCTCATATGAAAAGATTAAATATGTGAAATGATACAGAATGTGTGAACTTTTTTTTTTAACCAAGAAAAGCAAAGATTGGATACCATCAGAACGCTCCTTTAACCTGCGCACATTTTAAACACGCATAGGTACAAATGGGGAAGGCGGGAGATGGAGGGAAGAAAAACTGTGGTTTTAAGGGCTGTAAGTCTTGCTAAGATAAATACATGGGAAAAGGGATGACACAATGGATTTGTAAGTTTTTAAACTTGATTACAGAGCAAAGAACTCATAGGCCATTTGGTTAATGGGTCAGGCGGTGTCTTGAAAATGCCACATTAACTCATGAAACCCCAGCCTCGGACACGGAGAAACCCCACACAGATCATGTAGAAAGAGTGAGACGGGCCTGCATGGAAAAGCAAGATGCGCACGCATCTGTGGACTGTGGGAAAGAACTCCACGTCATCTGCTCGCCGGAGTCCCGCCCGGCGCAGGGCATCTCTGCCCCAGAGTAAGCAGGCGTGGCGATGCAGGGGTCAACAGCGTGCACACACCCGGCTGCCAAGCTAGAGGCCAGGCCGTACCTGTTGGCGTGCTCCTTGATGATCTGGTAGATGCTGATCTTGATCGTTTCGTTGGCAAATCTCTCGTGGCTCTTGTCCTTGAAGATCCGGAACTCGGCAGCGCTCACCGCCTCCCCGTGCGGGATCTGAGTCAGGTCGAAGCGGAATTCCTTGTAGTGCCTTCGCTGGGGAGAAAAGTCCTTGTCTCGTTCCACTGGGAAGAGAGGAGGGAAGAGAGGAAGGAGTCAGCCCGCTGTGGAAACAGGGGAAGGAAGAGAGGAGGGGGTCAGCCCGCTGTGGAAATGGAATAGAGGAGGGGGTCAGCCCGCTGTGGAAACAGGGGAAGGAGCGGTCAATTCTCCCCCTGAAAATGAACACAAACACGGTAACCGGAAAACACTAAAGCCACGGCCCGGTCTCTACGCCTTTCCCGAAATCCCACCAACCAGCGGAACTTTACTTCCAAAGCCGCCCGGCCTCCGCGGCTTTCTGAGGATGCGGGGAGCCTGCTGGCGCTCCCCGAGGGCGCTCTTGAAGGTGAGGGTCGCCGTGTCCAGCGCGCTCCCAGGGCTGGGACACCCTGCTTCCCGGGGAAGCAGGCCGACGTCACCTATGTGACAGGATGGAGTCTGCGCCTCCGCGTGGCTCCAGCAAATAAAGGCTTTCAGAGGAGACCTCGTTTTCACGGGGAGTGTTACTGCTCTTTAGCTGGCATCCCCTACGTGGGCGCAGACGTCTGCGGCGCTCAGACCCGACATGCAGCGCTTCTCTGCCCTCTGCCAAGGGCACATGCAAATCCTTTCTTGCCGCTGTGATGCCTGCAGGGAGCACTCGGGGCTGAACTCGCCCTGTGTGATGCGGGGCTGAACTCGCCCCGTGTGACGCGGGGCTGTCCTCGCCCTGTGTGACGCGGGGCTGTCCTCGCCCTGTGTGACGCGGGGCTGTCCTCACTCGCCCTGTGTGACGCGGGGCTGTCCTCACCCTGTGTGACGCGGGGCTGTCCTCACTCGCCCTGTGTGACGCGGGGCTGTCCTCACTCGCCCTGTGTGACGCGGGGCTGTCCTCGCCCTCTCCGTGTGACGCGGGGCTGTCCTCACTCGCCCTGTGTGACGCGGGGCTGTCCTCGCCCTGTGTGACGCGGGGCTGTCCTCACCCTGTGTGACGCGGGGCTGTCCTCACCCTGTGTGACGCGGGGCTGTCCTCGCCCTGTGTGACGCGGGGCTGTCCTCGCCCTCTCCGTGTGACGCAGGGCTGTCCTCTCCCGCCCCGTGTGACTGTGCACAGAGGCCCAGCCTGTCTCCTGACTCACGCCCTCGGGAGGGATGCCATCCCCACTCCACGAGTGCGTGTGCTGCCCCGTTCTCAGGACTGTCCTCTCACTCAGAACTCTGGGAACCCGGCTCTCCCCTTCCCGGTCGTCCCAACAAATGGAGTCAAAGAAGTCAATCTCTTTAGCTAAGATATTATTCTTTGAATGTTAATTTAGGACAGTAAGTTTGAGGTATCGGTTTACACAATAGAGCTGTGCAGAATCGCGTACTGTCAGACGCCTTCTGTCTCTGGCAGATGCTCAAGCGTCGTTAGTGAGCTCCAGACCAGCAGTGCGAGCAGGCGGGCTCTGTCCCTGCCTGGCGAGTTTCTGGGTATTCGCTGGTTCTCCAGTTCTCAGTTACCTTGGACAGCACAGTGCTGAGTGACCAAGAAATCTACTGCAAGGCCCCATGTCCAGGGCCCTGTGCATCTGCAGCCGACAGCAGTAACGTTTAAACATCTTCACAGTGGAATTCTTGTCTTTGCTTCTGTTGCTGTGATGGATTACATTTATTGACTTGGTATACTGAACCAGCTTTGCACCCTGGAGTGAATCCTGTTTGATCATAGTGTAAGATTTTGGGGGTTCATGGTTCAATTTCATTGGTCAGAATTTTACTGCGACGTTTTGCATCCGTGTTCTTTGATGAGTTCCTATCTGGTTAAGGGATGAGCGTCTTCATAGCATGAGTGGTACCAATCTTTCCCTTTCTATGTCATTGAAGAGTTTGAAGACTATTAGAGTAAGCTCTCAAGTGAACAGGCTGAATGGTTAGGAACAAACACTGGGACCTGTGAAAGTATCTGCACACAGAAACACAAGGTGCAATATTTATGTGCATCTGCTCTATAAAATAATACTTATCAAAGTGAACCCCAGGAAATGGAAATACGGTGCTTTTTTTTCTTTGTTGCTGTTTTAGTTTTCTTTCACTTTTTTTCCTTCTTGTCTTGTTTGTTCACTTATCTGTTTGGGGAGGGCAAGGGGACACAGAAATAGCGGGACAAAGGATGAACAATTGTAGCAGCGACACTGACTAGACTGAAAATGAACTGTAAAGATATGGGTGGGGCAGGAGGGGAAAACCGGGGGACCATGAGGGCAGAGATGAGATTATCCAAAAAGAAACGCACTCTGTCTGACTTACGTAACTGTAGCCCTCGTACATCGCCTTCACAGTAACAATAAAAATGAACGAAGAAAAAAAGAATTTTTTTCAATGACATGGCTTATTGCTAAAACTTGTTACGAAAAGATTCACAAAATATCCTCGAGGTATAAATGGATCTACCAGGTTCGAAGTTGGATTCAGCTACAAAACCATCTTTAGAAGATTCGCTGGTATCGTGTCAGCACTGCCGGAACTGTGTGGGAACGTGGATGTCTGGGCCACAGGACGGCCTGAGCCTGTGAGGCGGGCCGTGCTGCGGGGGTGGCTGCCGGGAGGAGGCTCCTGAGGTCGGATCCCGTTCCCACAGCCCTTGCCTCCCCGTCCCCCCGCCCCCCGCCCCCACACACAGTTTCCATATGATTCCACCACAAGGTGGGGGCAGGTGCAGAAGAAGCCCCAGGCACCCCGGCTGGACGCCCCCCACTAACCCCGACCCACGGGGTTATGAAACTGTGACGTTCTTAAAATGTCATTATCCTTTTCCTAAGAAAGGCCTGTCTCCAGAGGGCCTGCTGGACATTTCCCCTGCGGTAACAAGCTGGTAATTCCATCTGCACACGTGAGGAGGCGAGTCTGCAAAGAGCATGCGGTTCTGCGGCAATAATGCGGCGTGGAGACTTGCTCCCCATGACCTGTGACACTGCAAACAGGACAGCGGGAGGTGGGAGGGAGAAGGGAGAGGGGAAGCGGGGGGAATGTAATGAAATGGAAACAGAAGACAGAACTCACCGACATTGTTCAGAGAGGCGGGAAGGGAAGGCGTCAGGAACAGCACATGGGTGAAACCGATCAGAGCACAGCTTACGCGTATATGGAAATAGCATCACGGAACTATTCGCGAAACTCAAATACACTAATACATACTGGGGGGCGGGGGGAAGGAAAGTTTGAAGGTAGAAAATCTTCCTACCTGAACAGCTAACAACTCGATGTCCAAGTTCTGCTTTGAGAGGACTTAATTGAATTCACTGTGACTATTTTCTCGAGATGAAAACAACAAGGAGAAACAGGGAATCCACAGTGCAGTGAAGGGTATGATGCTCAGAATCTGGTCTCTGGGTGTCGTGTGCCAGGCCAGGACGTACGGCTGCCACATACATTCTAGTAGTGTGTCCTGTCTGACGGTAGACATACTATGACTTACGTCTTCCATCCTGCATTCGCAAGGCTACGCTCTGAAAGCTCGGGAGATATGAAGCTGGGTTTCCACTCACGCGGCAGGTGAGCTGGGAATCCGCTGGTGGGTGAGATACTCGCACTGTGAATAGCTCCTGCTTCTCTGCAGTACTGCTCACGCATGCGCCACCCCAGCACCAGGGATCTGCACATACCAATGGTATTTGCACCAGCGAAGCACAAATATATTTCCTCCATTCTAAAAAGCAATATTCAGAGTTCCAAGTGATAAGAGTCATTATTCAGCTGTTCACAAACTACAGCTTTTGCTCGTGAACCCTAAATCAAAACAAAACTCTAGCTCTAGAAATAAGAGCTGGGACCTAAGCCTCTCGGAATCCAATCTAACGCGCACACCTGCACAGCACGGAGCACTGCTAAGTTCACCTTCTGTAAAGTCATCCGCCAGTCTCGAATCTCTGGTGAGATGTGAGTATAATAAAGTGGAAAGCTAGAATTTCAGGCATTGTTATAAAATTTCAGTTTTCTTATCCAGGCTATTTAACATAACCCCTTAAGGGGACACGTTTTCAAAGGCTTTAATAAAATCTCGTCTTAAACATGCCTCACAAGGTCTGCAGCAGATCTGCCTAGTGACTCAAACCCCTGTGTGGCCTTCACCTTCATGATGCCCGCACATGTTCAGCAAGTTCCTCTCAGTTCCCTCGCAGCGCGGTCGCCTGGCTGGAGAGGCGGCAAATGTTAATACCCTCACTTGAGAACGGGCAGCCGGGGAAAGAGAGCCGGGCGGCCACAGAGGTCTGTCCGGCGGACCTCACCACGAATCCTGGCTGAACGCTCCTCTCGCCGTGCACTCGACTTCCTCATGCTCTGCAGAAGCTGGGTTCTTGTTAGTATGTTCAAGGCCGTTAAGCAATACACACATGCTGGGCACCGGTGGCTCACTCTTATAATCCTGGCTACACAGGAGGCTGAGATCTGAAGATCTTGGTTCAAAGCCAGTCTGGGCTTTATCTCCAATAAACCACCAAAAAACTGGAAGTGGCATGGAGGCTCAAGCAGTAGAGTGCTCGCCTTGAGCTGAAGAGCTGAGGGACAGCGCCCAGGCCCAGAGCTCAAGTCCCTTGACTGACCAAAAAAACAACAACAAAAAAAATATATATACACACAAGTACGGGTTGGGGATGGCCACTTTGACTGCGAATATGTCATCAGCATCTAAGGTAACCCAGGCTGTCAATCATTAGTTGACACTAATGTCAACTAATGTCAACTAATGTCGTAAAAAAGTTGAAATCCGGTCCACCCTCCACTCTGTCCTCCTGCCTCATTCCTTCATACACGAGAGGGGTGATGGCTAATTTAAATAACATTTGCTTGCATGCAGTGACTTATTTAAATATCATTTGTAAAGTCAGCCAAGACAAATGCTGGAGGGGATGTGGAGAAAGAGGAACCCTATTACACTGCTGGTGGGAATGTACACTTATACAACCACTTTGGAAAGCAGTCTAGAGGGTCCTCAGAAAGCTACATATTGACCAGCCATACCACTTCTAGGCATCTATCCTGAACAACAGGAATCAGGATACAA